GACCTAATCGAGATATAGCGTACGTATCGGCTCTATTAACCTAGAAACCCTTTAGTGGGCGGTGGAGATAAATTCTTAGGCAGAGACCCCCCCCTTAACCTGGACGGGGACTATATAGGCGTTATCGCCACGATTACTGTTTTTCTAATCGAGGACTCTGCTCTTGTTCTCTATTTTTCGTTTTAGACGTAACGCCCCCTTAAACCCCGTTCTTCTTCCTTTAGCATAATAGCTTATCGCCCTTAAAGTGTAATTACCTCTACTTTTCCCTTAATCAACCGTTACGATAGGACACGATTATATTATAGCGAAGTATACTTAGGACTATTAGGGTTGCGATAGGTTTACCCTAAAGCTAGAAAAAACAAAAAAAAGGAAAAACCTAACCCGAAGGCTAGTAAAAAACCTGGAAAGAAAATAACCGTTCCTCTATATATACTATTAACTATTACACCCCTAAAAGAACGTCCTTAAACCCTATTAAGTTATTATCTAGAGGGGTAGGCTCCCGCCTAGCTACCTCGTTACTATTATCCTCTATATATACCTGGCTCTGCCCTATAGTAGTAGCCGCTATTCCCCCCTTTTACCTATTACCCGCGGATAGTATCGAAGGCCGAAGAGATAGAGGCGTCTTCGCCTTCTGCTTTTTCTTCTTCTTCCCTGATAAAGGAGTTAAGGGCGTTAAAGCCTTCTTCCCCTTCTTCACTAATAAGGCCGGCACTATATCGTTATCGTCGGGCATTTTATAAGGATCCGGGGGACCCTATAGACCTTACTGTATCGTAACCCCCGATAGCGAGCCTTAATATTACGCAGGGCCACCGTTACTAAATATATTACTACCTATAAAGCTAACCCCCGCGGGGGCTAAGGTAGGCCCTAAGGGTATAGGTAGGTCTCTCTGAGCCTAGCCTAGGTTAAGAGTAGCTATTTACTCGAAAGTACTAGCCGTCTGCTCCTAAGCCGCAAGGTCGCGCTTATATAATATAAGGCATTATTATTTAATATTAAGGCGTTTTTACTTAATAGTAAGACACTACTACTATAGCCCGACGAATTACTTAAAGAGCGACTCTATACTATTAAGCCTCTCGTGGATATTATCCGCCGTTTTCTAGCGGGCGTCGGTAATTTCCTTAGCTTAACGCTAAGTAGCTATAGCTTCCTCGGTAGCTAACCGGTTAAACTTTAGCGTCGTTTAACCCAGAGCCTCTCTAAGGATAACCTAGTATTAAACTGCTATGGCCTGGTACTATAGAGGATTAGTAAGAGTATTATACAGGGTTAATAAAAGGATATAGTAATACTTACGCGGCGACTCTTATTTAGGCTACCTTTCTTAATAGCGATAAATAACACCTTTTAAAGCTACTCGGTAGCATTCTTATTAGCGATAGGAAGCTACTACGCGTATTAGAAGGACTAGGCCCACGGAGTAGTCTATAAAGAGAGGGGCTATAAAAATTAAATAATAATAAAGATATATAACTTACCACGCGGTATTTTAGGCTATTATACTCAAAAATAGTAGTGGGACTTATTTGTGCGCCGACCGTTATTGGCGTATCGGCACGTTATAGCCTTAATAGTATGCGTTTTCTCCGTAAAGTTAATCGTCACTAACTTACCCGTATAACGTATATAGGGGGCCCTTAGATCCCCGCCTATACCGATATCCACTACCTTCCAGCAGGGAGTAACCGACGGCGTAGTAGTCGATATTAAAGGCGTAGCCGTAGTAGGAGTAGGAGGCTTTAGCGTAGCCGGAGCTATAACCTACGATAAGGCAGGCTATATAGCCGACTACGGGGTAGATTACCTAGCGGACTATAAGGATAACGCCGTAGCCGTGGTCTTAAGCCTCTTGGAGGCTCGCGTTATACTCGCGGGAGTAGCGGCGCGTTTATTATTATTATTAATTTCCTGGGAAGATATAGTGACTATACTAGATATATAGTTAGGTAGTATCGGGGACTAGAGACGTGTGGGAACTACTTATAAGCTAGTAGTTATTTAATTCAATAAGGCTATACGTCGTTAGTACGCGATATCTTAGGTTAGGTAGGACTTACTGAAAAGAGGTAATACGATCGAAGAATTAAGTATAGAAGAGGAATAAAAAGAATAGGAAGAGGAATAACGGGAGGATTACGAGATATCCCCCTAATAGTAGTAATATAGACACCTATTTTTAGTATAAAGAAGGAAGCTACGAAGTTCACGGAAGGAGTAATAATGGGCCCTACGTGATACTAGCTTCGGGAGTCTTTATAAAGTAATAGAAGGGATAACCTAGGGGGATAAAGGAATAGACTTAAGGACCCGTAGAGGAACCGGCCTAGAACCTATTAGAGTCCTAGATAGGATATTAGTTTAGGTCTCGGGTTAAGGATAGAGTGGCCTTTATTAGTTTTTGGTTAATAGATTAAAGGGAGAGAGCGTATACCCGGGTTAGAGCCACGGCTAGAAAGGCTCCGTGTGGGAACCGGTCGGGGGCCTATTAGGGTCCTATCGTGGAAGGCTCCGATTCGGGGTATCAGGAATTTAGGGGATAGACTCAGAGGCCGGGTTATAGAGGAGCCGAGGGGGCTAGCACGGATCGGGCGCTCCTAAGAACAGGAGCATCCGGGGGGGGGTCGCTATATCAGGTGTCTACAGTAGTGGTCATGATAGGGCCCTATTATAAATCTATAGGGGTCCAGGCATGCCCAGGCTAAGACCCCTCAAGACATAAATAAAGTAGTTATTATATAAGTAAACAGAATAGTCTCTTAAAGTAAATACGCAGCCCTTAAGAAAGTAAATAAGCAGTCCTCAAGAAGTAGTAGAGAGTAGCAGAAGGTAGTCTTAAGGAGCGGAGGAGCCTCCCCTTTTAAGAGAGAGGCTAGCGATTAATCTAATTCTTTGGCTACACCCACGTTCTAACCCTATTATAATCCTATTATGATTATACCTGGTTTCTTACTTGACTCTACCTTTTCACTCTTTGCGACTACCTATTTAATAACTATATAGTCTCCTTATATAGTGGGTGTAAAATTAGAACAACAGGAAAAATCGATAAAAATATAAATAGTAGCACCGGAATTAAGGCTAGTAGATACTCGAAGAGGGTAACTAGTAATAGCGGTTCCTACTATAAAGCTAGCGGCGTGGGAGACGCCGCTACGGACACTACGGACGCTACTATAGTCGAGTCACGCCTCTTTAAGCTATACTAAGTCCCGGCTAGTATCCTTCTTCACCTTCTTGACAGCGCGTAGTTCTTCGACTTCCGCGGATAGTACAGGGTTATATTTAAGGATCCGTTAGACGGTTATTTTAATGCTCTCGAAGGGCGTTTAGTCGTTATATACTATATCCGGGAATAGATAGAAGCAGGCGTTAATATCGTAGCTAGGTATAGCGTATACGCGGTATATCTCTCCTCTTTATAGGGTAGATTAACGGTATTTAGAAGAGGAATAGTTAGCTAAAGCAGTAGAGGGTATAGCTATAGATACCGTGGTAGTAGGATTCTTAGCTTTCCTCTTTCTATAGCTACCCTTCTTAGGGTTAGCCGTGGCACCTAAGGTATTTTCGCCCTCTTCGCTTCTGGTATATAGTATAGGGAATATTATGGCGCGGTGGCTACCGCGTTTTACTTAATCTTTAAGTCTAGTCTTGATATCTCGCTAACTAAGGGTTTAAAGGTCTTCGAGGAGTAGTACTTTCTTATCCAAAAGACGTCCCTCGGCTTGGGTCTAATCGCGACTAGCGATTAAATATATACCTTCAAAGAAGTCTACTATCCAGATATACTTTACGGGCCTCGATTAGACCTCTTTAAGGCGTACTGATAGCTCCTACTATCTAGATACCTACTCCTAAGCCTCTTTAGGGTCGTTAGCGCTACGCGGATGTATTTGTTATAATCTTAGTAGGTATTAACGCGGCGGGTAGTTATATAAAGAGTAGTACCGCGTTAAAAGGCTTTAAATACCTCTTTAAGCATTATATTACGTAGTAGTAGCCTACGGCTATTATCGATGGTGTTAGTCTACTGGTTTAAAACGGCTCTAATACCCTTTATATAGCTAGTATAGTTATCTCTCTATATCTTCCAGCGTTATATCGCCGAGTCGTAGGCTTTCTGCCCAGTGGATATTAGATCTAACTACTACGAGGGCGTAGCTTCTGCTTATAGGGTTACGTGCGTCGGCTAGAAGGTGGCGTAGGAAGGTAAAACAGGCTTGTAAGGAGGGGGAATAGGATTATCTGGGCGTAGATATTCCTAGACTTTGTTATTAACGGCCATAGCTTTATAGTGTTTACTCTAGAGCTCCTAATCGCGATAGGTTTTATAGGTAATGGGCTTATAAGATTCCGATATTTTGATGGTTATTTATAGATTAATACGCTATATCGGCGTAGCTAGATAGCTTCTTAACTCGGTAGTAGTTAAGGTAGAAAGGTAGGTTATTCACTTAGTAAGTAAAACTCTTAATTGTCAGGTAAAGCGTAGTTAAAATCGTTATAAAATAGGTCAAAATTAATTAAGGTAATTGTGTATAATTATAACTATCTCGGACCGTTAGGGAAACGCTGCCACCGTATTTTATATAGTGCAGATTCTGCAAGCGTCTACCCGTATTATACTTTTCGAAATCTAGCCTATTACGTAACTGAAAAGACTATAGTCTATTCGACAATCTGCACTACCCGTGCCACGCTCCACTTATTTTGGTTCGTTTAGCACTCACCAGCTATAAGCTGGTGCTGGATAGGTATTTAGCCACTTTTTTAAAGCTATTTATAATAACCGCGTTTTTATCGATAATAACACCCTGTTATAATCTTTTTTAAAATAGAATCTCGCCTTACCAAGGCTATTAATTATATTAACAAAAACCCGGATACGAAGGTAGCAACGGTCGCGCGTTAATTTAGTCTCCCGCGATACAATGCTACGGAATCGCCTATAGGGCCACCGCCCTAAACCGGGCCTAAAATCATTGAATTTGAAGCTTTTAGAGCCTGAAGAAAAGGCCCTATACCGCTATATAGACCGCCTTAACTATATTAACCTTACGGTTCGACCTGAGTTTATTACTAACGCTATAAACGCGATTCTCGAGGCGCGTTACGACGCTAAAGAAGGCTGCCCTGCCCCTACTATTAGTCGATAATAGGTTACGCGGTTTACCTAACGGCACGACTACTTTGAAAGGAAGTAAAAGAAGATAGATACGAACTGTTAGACTACCGAGGATTCCGAATAGGTTCTTTAATACTTTAGCTAATTATAGGAAGTTATATAGAAAAACGGAATCCCCCCGGAATTTATCTAGAATATAGATAAGACCGGCCTTTAAATCGGAATAGGTAAAGATTAGGTTACTATTACTAAATAGAATAAATCCTACTACTTTAGCACCCCGTAGAATAAAGAGTTCATAATAGTAATTAAGGCTATTTCGGTATACGGCGTTATTATCCCCGTTTTCCTAATCTTAAACAGTAAAGTCTATATATGGTAATAGTATAAACTAGAAAGGATAGCTAACGGAATAATAACAGTAGTATCGCTAACTGGATATACGAATAACTAGGTTAGTTATACCTTATTTTACTATAAAATATCGCGCTATGTATATAATACATTAGCCTAGATTAGCTAAAGCATTTCGATAAATACTCTAAGAAGTTATCTATTAGCGCGAAGCGGCTATTACTCCTAGATAGGCACGGCTCCTACTACACGTAGGAAGTTATATAATTCTATAATAATCATGATATTATATCTTTTAGATTACCCCCTTACCTAACCTATATACTTTAACCGCTTAATATTTGTTTTCCAGCCTCTAAAGCATTACCACGCAAAAGCCCTTAACTAGCTAGTTCGCGATAGAGTTATTAATATTATAAAGCTCGAATTTCTCTTATTACTTAAGGGTGTGCGTTAGCAGGCGTTTAAGTAATTAATAATCCTCTCCGCCTTTAAGAAAACAGGGATCTATCTATTTACCCGTAGATTATTCTATAGTAGTTAGAAGAACGCAGACCTCGGATACCTACCCCGTCTCCTATCCCTTCTAATAGGTCCTTAAACCCGATAACGCTAATAACCCTTCGTAAGATATATTATTCTGTCCGTAGAATTAGGCGTAGTTTACGTGATAAGGCGGAATTAGACCCTACTATACAGCGTAAAGTGATAAGCTTTATTAAGGTGTCGTTATCCTTAGCGTCCGAACTAATCCAGGTAAAGAGGGACCTTATACGTAAGAAGTACGCTAAGACTATTACCTATTAACGCCGTGCTATTAAGAATATATAGCTATAGCACGGAGGCGTTTTAAGGGTAGAAGAGACGCGTAGGATAGCTAAATAACGCGTTAAGAATAAGGTTACGAATGTAGAGCGTATTGTGGAGCCTACGCGTTTAAAAAGGTAAAGAGTATATAAGAAGGTTGGCGAGGACGCTATAAAGATAGCTAGGGCTTAGGTAAAAGCTAAGCGATTAGGTAAGCTACAAACTATATAGGGTATAGGCTATTAGGTTACGTTATCGTGATAGTTATAAATAGCTTTAAAATCGTGAAAAAGTGGCTAAATAACTATCTAGCACTAGCTTATAGCTAGTAAGTACCAAACAAACAAAAATAAGTAGGGCGTCGCACGGGTATATAAAATACGGTGGTAGCGGTTCGATAGCAGTCTACCACAGATCTAATTATATATAAATACCTTAATTAATTTTAACCTCTTTTATACTGATTTCGACTACGCTATATCAGATAATTGAGAGTCTTATTTACTAAGTGAAAACTTTACTCTTTACCTTTGCTACTACTAATTAAGACCTTATCTAGCTATACCAATATAGTATAGTAATCTATAATCCTTAAGATATCGGACTATAAGCTAGGTATCTATAAAACCTATCACGATTAGAAGCTCTAGTATAGCTATTACGAAGCTACGGCCGTTAATACTAATACAGGATTATCTACGCTATTATAAATCTATTTCCCCTCCTTAAAGGCCTGTTTTAACTTCCTACGCTAACTTCTAGGCCTTGAACGTAACCTTATAAGTAAAAGCTACGCCTATTTAGTAGTTAGATTAAATAGCTGCTAGGCAGCGCGCCTATAATTCGGCGATATAGTAGTAGAGGATATAGGGGGATAACCACGCAAAGTACGTTAAGAGTATTAGCACTATATTAATATAGTAGACTAATACTATTAATATAAGCCGTAAGCTATTACTACGTAACGCTATACTAAAAGAGGTATTTAAAGCTATCTACTATAATACTACTTACTCTATAGCTGCCCGCCACGATAATACCTATAAAGACTGTAATAAATATATCCGTATAGTCTTAATAACCCTTATATCCTTCTTATAAATTATATAGGGGGACCTACGTTTTACGTGTAAACGCCCTAAACCACTCGAAACCTATATATATATATTTCTTTTTAATTCATTACGCGTATATAGCCCTAAAGCTATAGCGTAGCGCCTATCGCCCTAAGAGCTAAAGCCTACTAGAAGCTAGGTATATATTACGCGTTGACCCCGATATAGAGGATCCGGCTATACTCCGGATCTTCCTGACTGCGCGCTTAGTTAACGGACCTATATCGCTAAGTTATCGCTACCTTATAGCTAGCCTAGCGCTATAGACTTTTCTCCTTTTTCCTTCTTCCTTCCTTAGTTCTAGATAATCTATTATTATAACCTTACTTAGTGCCACGACCTATAACTAATCGTTTATATATCTAGAACTTAGCGATACCTACGCGTTACGCTAGCGATAGATTAGAATTCTAACGCTACCGGCTAATAACCTATTAGAATTAAATAGCTTATAGAGTAGACGAATTAACGGTTCGAAGAAAATAACTAAGCCCTAAATATAAGGCTAGGCCCTTTTTATAAATAATATACCGATATTAACTTAAGACTTACTCGGATATAAGAATACTACTCGGAAATACGCTAGTTTATAGACCGATAACGCGTAAGAGAAGAAGCCGATAAGCGATAACGCTAGTTAGTCGAATAGCTTATAGCCCGGCTCCTAGAATCGCTTACCCCGTAGAACCTAACGCCGCTTAACCTAAATATTCTGGCTCCCTCGTAGACCCCGATAATTCTTATACTAATAGAGTCTACCCTATTACCGGTTCTATCGCCTACGCTATAGCCGATTATAATAGTAATCGTCCCGATCTTAATAGCGATACCCCGTAAAACTATTAATAGCCCGGCGAAGTTCTTAGAGGAGCGAGTATATTATAGCGTATAGGCCTACACGATACCGTAGAAGCTTATAATCGATAGCGACTTATTCTATAATAATATATAAGCTTAGTACACGATCTATAATTACCTAAGGCCCGAAGTATAATAAGTTATATCGGCCTTTTATAAAAGCGATAGGCCGGGTAAGCTTATAGACCCTAATAACTTTATAGCATATCTTAATCGTATTTACCTTAACCCTATAGAATAATTATAGGCCGCCTAAGCCTTACGTATAATTCGTTAACGAACTAATAAGTTATTTACCTCCTTCCTGCCCTATTTTAAAAGATAGATCGCCCTTATAGGTAGTACCAAATAGGAAGCTACTATATAGACTTTATTCCTCGAAAAAGCGATTACTGTGCGATTTAGGGATAGACTTATCTCCGCCTAAATCCTTACTAACTACTATACTATATAGGTTAACGGCGTGTAAGAGATTACTAGGAAACTTAAAGGCTATTAGTTTAAATAAAACTACGATAAATAAGCTTAAGACTATATAACTACGAAGAAGGATACCGATAGCGATACGAAGATAGGCGGAGTAAACCGTATTAGTAATAGGAAGGCGAAGTAAAAGAGTCGGATATACTATAACTATAATAAGAAACGATATATCGCGCGGAACTATAAAAAGCTAAAGGAAAGCTAAGACACAGTTCTGAAGGTTAAGAAGACTCGCACGAAAGATCGTGATAAGAGCGGGGACGAGTCGATTATCGAGGACGACTCGGAAAAAGAGTAGCTCTAACGCGAAGATAGGCGTTAAGGCTAATAGCCGTGATACAGCGGGAGTAAGAGGCGTTTAAAGTGCGAGCTAGTAGTAACCCGGCACTTATAGTAGCTAAAGTAAATAAACGGCGTATCCTCGCCCTTATTAATACTAGTTATGACTACTATACCGCTATAAGTGAATAGTTTACCTAAAGACTCTAATTACTGTTAATTAATGAAACGAATTAACTACTAAATAGCTTCTCGGAAGCTACTAGGATTATTGGTAGCGCGGGGATCGCCGTTTATAAGCTTAAGATCGGCGGTTACCCGTAAAAGATACTCGTATATATAGTTCCCGGGCTTAATTAAGCCGTATTCCTTAGGAAGCCCTAGATAGAATAAAATAACGTAATATACTACGCTAAAGATAAACGGCTTTACTACGGAGTAGCCGGATTAAATGTATAACATTATTACGAAAAGGAACCTACTAGAGTATAAGCTATCCGTGACGACTATTTAGTTATAGGATCTATATTCGCGGGTATTATTCGATAATTATAACCGAAGGGTAAGGAAGTCTTAATCCAGGGAGTAAGCTTAAGGGATATTAAAAGAGCATTATATAAGAAATAACTAATAGACCTAAAAGACTTTATACCCGAAGAGTTACTATAAGAATTCGGCGACCTATTCGCGCCCGATAAGGCTAATTAATTACCGCTATACTAATTAAGAGTCGATTACGAGGTAAACCTTATACCCGGAAATAATAGTAAAGAATTATCGCTTCTTTAGGGGTTACTCTATAATATATTAAGAGGAGAACTCTTAGTATTACGGAAAATACTTACTAACCTAATAGATAAAGGATTTATCCGTGCTAGTAGTTTGGAAGCCGCGGCTCCTATCCTCTTTATAAGGAAGCTAGGCGGAGGACTTCGATTTTATTACGACTATTAAGCGTTAAACACGATTACTATGTAAGACTATTATCTACTTCCCTTAATTGCTAAGATACTATAGAACCTAAGCTAAGTAAAATAGTTTACGAAGCTCGATATAATCGCCGCCTTTTATAAGATTAGAATAGCCTTAGGATATAAAGATAAGACTATATTCCGAACTCGGTTTAGGCATTTCG